GACACATTCCATTAAGAAAAAGAAAGGGAAGATGTAAACTAGAAAGAGAGAGACGTTCCCTATACAGACGAAGGTGAAGAGTCACAGAGCTGCTGAGCTCCAGGTAAACTCCAGGTTATGCCAAATCTAAAGGAAAAACAACATCCACAGACTTTGCAAAAGCTTTTGACAGGTGTGACCATGGTGTAATAGTACACAAAATGCGGGATAAAGGAATAACGGGAAAAGTTGGTAGATGGATCTACAACTTCCTGACAAATAGAACACAAAGAGTAATAGTAAACAGAGAAAAGTCCCAGGCAGCCACGGTAAAAAGCTCTGTTCCACAAGGCACAGTACTCGCTCCCATTCTATTCCTCATCCTCATTTCTGAATTAGACAGAGACACCCAGATTACCATGGCAGTGACCTGCATCGAAGACACTGCGAGACTCCAAGCGGACATCAACTAAATCTTCGAATGGGCCACTCAAAACAATATGAAGTTCAACAAGGAGAAATTTAAATTACTCAGATATGGAAAACTTGAAGAAATTGAAAATGTATCAGGGTATACCACAAATTCTAACCATAAAATAGAGCGGAAAAGTAATGTGAAGAACCTGGGAGTGATAATATCAGAGGATCTCACCTTCAAAGACCACAACAATGTATCTACCTCATCCGCTAGGAAAATGATAGGATGGATAATGAGAACCCTCAAAACTAGGGATGCCAAGCCCATGATGATTCTCCTCAAATCGCTTGTGCTCTCTAGGCTGGGATACTGCTGTACACTAACGGCCCCCTTCAAGGCTAGCGACATTGCAGACCTGGAGAGAGTACAAAGAACTTTCACAGCACACGTAAGTGCAATAAGGCACCTAAACTACTGGGAACGGTTGAGGGTCCTTGATCTGTATTTCCTCGAATGCAGGCGATAAATATACATGATAATATAAAATTGGAAGGTTCTGGAGGGATTGGTACCAAACCTGCACACGAAAATCACTCCCTATGAAAGCCAAAGACTCGGCAGGAGATACAACATTCCCCCGATGAAAAGCAGGGGCGCCACGAGTACACTGAGAGACTACACAATAAGTGTCCAGGACCCAACACTGTTCAATTGCCTTCCAGCATACATAAGGGGGATTACCAATAGGCCTCTGGCTGTCTTCAAGAAGGCACTGGACAGGCACCTAAAGTCAGTACCTGACCAACCGGGCTGTGGTTCGTACGTCAGCTTGCGTGCGGCCTGCAGTAACAGCCTGGTTGATCAGACCCTGATCCACAATGAGGCCTGGTCTCAGACCGGGCCGCGGGGGCGTTGACCACCGAAACCCTCTCCAGGTAAACTCCAGGTCTCCAGGTTCTTCAGATATATTATTGCACATAATCCTACCTCAGTCTAAGCTATGAAAGGTCATTAATACGCTCGGAGAAAAGGAAAAGACAAATGTTATTCAAGTTTTAAATAACACTATGAGCTGTGGGTAAGGTACCCATCCTCCTCAGCACTGTGTCTATGGGGTGTGTGCTAATATTAACACCTTCTACCATTGTCTCAACAACAGGAGGCAGACCTTGCCTTGGGACCCTTCGGACAGACGGAGAGCAGGAGCCAGGCTGTGGACTTCACTCTTTCCTTCTTCTTCGACGACCGTAGCATACTTGTGAAGAAGGGTCTTCCAGAAATCGACCCCTGGAGTTTTGTTTTTCCGTTATCTCCTCTGGTGTGGATGGCCCTGCTGGGAGCGCTGCTAGTGGTGTGGACGATCACGGTGATACTCACATACGAGCCTGGAGGCACACCACACTACAAGAAGGCATGGGGTGTTTTCTTCCGTGAAATACGTGCGCTGCTGAATCAGAGTAAGTCAGAGGAAGATAACCTAAGTCCTTAGAAACACCTGCAGATCTAATTTACAAAGTTGTTTAATGTAACTTACTCAGCTATCAAAACTTTGGAATCCAGTCCCTGGACCCATTATGTACTACCTACCTGTAAAATACCTTAGAAAAGTGACTACAAGCACTGACATCTTCTTAAGGTTTATTCATCAGATAGGTTATTCTAGGGCTCGTCATGGAGGTAATCCCGTTTTTTCCTATTAATTAGTATTAACTACAGTGGATGTGACCTACGCTTGAAGTTCTTGAACCTGTATTCCCTGGAACGCAGGCGGGGGAGATGCATGATTATATACACCTGGAAAATCCTAGAGTGACTAGTACCAAACTTGCATACGAAAATCACTCACAACGAAAGCAAAAGACTTGGCAGACGATGCAACATCCCCCCAATGAAAAGCAGGGGTGTCACTAGCACGTTAAGAGACAATACAATAAGTGTCAGGGGCCCGAGACTGTTCAACTGCTTTCCAGCATACATAAGGGGGATTACCAATAGACCCCTGGCAGTCTTCAAGCTGGCACTGGACAAGCACCTAAAGTCGGTACCTGACCAGCCAGGCTGTGGCTCGTACGTTGGATTGCGTGCAGCCAGCAGTAACAGCCTGGTTGATCAGGCTCTGATCCACCATGAGGCCTGGTCACAGACCGGACCGCGGGGGCGTTGACCCCCGGAACTCTCTTCAGGTAAACTCCAGGAACGTTAGAGAAGAACTGGAAGCCGTCATCCATGGCAGGCACAAAGAATCTGCGGAAAATTTTGAATTTTCCTAAATTCAGCATGTTTAAATTTGAAAAATATAATTGCGTATTACAATGTGATGCTATTTGGACCCTTCGAGATATTTCGATTGAGGGGGGGGGGGGATGTGGAATAGCCGGGGGAGTGACGCCCTGGTTAGTTAGTTTAATATGTTTATTATGCACCCCATACCCATCCTGTGGGCGGTAGTCAAAAGATTACAGAGGTACATAATTGGTCCAGGGACCGGACTCCAAAGTTTTGATAGCTGAGCAAGTTAGAGGTAATGAACTCACAATTTACAAAGGTAATGAACTCCAGGTAGGTCTGGTCACAATCATGACAAGTTACAAAGGTATTTACAGATTACAGAGGTACGTAATGGGTCCAGGGACTGGGCCCCAAAGTTTTGATAGCTGAACTAGGTACAAAGGTAATGAACTCACAAGTTGCAAAGGTAATGAATCCTGTAAGATGGGTTAATTACGTTTATACATGGCTACAATCATGAACAAATTATAGAGTAATGAGCAATTCACACTTCCACACCCGGTCACAACTGTAATGAGTTATTGGTGCAAATATTGATTGTTGCGTCACACACACACACACACACAGACACACACACACACACATGGGGCAGAGAGAGAGAGGACCTAGTAGCAATCAGCGAAGAGGCGGAGCCAGGAGCTATGACTCGACCCCTGCAACCACAAATAGGTGAGTACAAATAGGTGAGTACACACACACACACACAGAGGAGCTTGGACTCGACCCCTGCAACCTCAACTAGGTGAGTACACACACACACACACACACACACACACACACACACACACACACACACACACACACACACACTCACACACACACACACACACACACACACACACACACACACACACACACACACACCACACACACACACACACACACATGGTAATGCTTTATTTACAGCTAGCAAAGTCAGGGTATTTCTCCAGAATGGTCTGTAATATACCACTGTGGATAAAATACTTTGTCATTTCTTGAACATTTCTGAGTGAGTTGTTTCTAAATTCATTAATTTTATCACACTCCAGTACATAATGACGCAGGGTGTGACAATAGTCCATCTGGCAAAGTTTACATTTCGTTTGGTCTACATCTGGTGGTGGTGATTTAACCTGCCAAAGATACTTGTAACCCAGCCGGAGCCGGGCGGTAGTGACAGCCGGAGCCGGGCGGTAGTGACAGCCGGAGCCGGGCGGTAGTGACAGCCGGAGCCGGGCGGTAGTGACATCTAAGTCTGCTTATCTTGTTGGATGCACCATAGACATGTGGCTCCATTTTGTAATTTGTAAGCACTGACTGTCGCGGAAATTCTGCTAATAATTCGGAGTCTTCAGAGCCAAATTGGGGAGTTTCGGCCTGAGTTTGTAATAGGAACCCTTGTTAATGTCCCCTGGAGCCTGCTGAAGAATTGGGACAGAAAATTTGCAGGACCTCAAGAATTACGAGTGGATGGCGGAAGATAAGGGATACGACCATCACTCACAGGGAAGTGTGCCATTACTCCTTGCATGCTGAATTTAGGAAAATTATAAACATTTTCAACAATTAGATTTTGTTCGGATTTTTAACCCTGAGGGTCAGCCACCCAGGATAACCTAAGAAAACTAGTGCATCATCGAGGACTGTCTCTTATTTCCACTGGGGTCCTTCAATCTTGCCCTCAAAGATACGACCCACACCAGTCGACTAACGCCCAGGTACCTACTTGCTGCTAGGTGAACAGGGACAGCATGTGTAAGGAAATGCACCCAGCATTTCCTCCCGAGTCGGGAATCGAACTACGAACACTCAGAGTGAGGCAAGAGCGTTGCCAACCAAACCACGGGTAACTGTATAACACATACGAGCTTCCTGGTGGTGCATCAATTTGCAATTTGTTAAATAATTAACAACATAATAAAAATTTGCTTCATTACTTCCAGCTCGTTAATTAGATGTGAAAGTTCAGTTAGTGACACAGTGCTTTAAAAAGTCATTAGACCAGGTTAAATAAGTTGTATATGGCTTTATTATCTTTCATATTTTTAAACTTATTTTTATGTCAAAGATATGAGATTAGGCTGAAACAAAAATAAACACGTTTTCCATGTATTCACTCATGAGTTCACTCAGATTTTCTGAAATTTTGGTTAATATTTGAGGAGAGGAACTACAACTATCCTACCCCTGAATCGAACTTAATTACCTTTTATTCCAAATCCGCTGGTGATTCTTACAGGTGCAGCAAACCTCATGAACATAATAATAATAATATAGCAAAATTTTACATCCATACCACATCAAGAAATTTCTTTCCCCCCTCTAAAGGCACATCGATAAGGAAGGTCGCGGTGCGTGAGAGGATGGTGTTAATGGCATGGGTGGTAGCCGGGATGGTGTTGACATGCAGCTACTGCAGTAACCTCATGTCTCAGATGACAGTGCGTCATGTTCCCCAGCCCATACAGTCCATCAGGGACCTCCTCGACCACCACTCTTATACAGTCATTATGGAACCCAACACTGTCGTTACTGATACTCTGGCTGTAAGTACTGGCTGTAAGAATGTTTCAGAGATGGGACACAGGGGTAAGGGGCCACAACTGGAAGCTGAAAACTCAGGTGAGGCACAAGGGTGTGAGCAAGTATTTCTTCAGTACTAAAGTTGTCAGGAAATGGAACAATCTGCAGAGCGATGTTGTGTAAGCAGGATCCATTCATAGTTTTAGGGAGAGAGATGACAAGGCTCTCAGAGCAGGGAAGGAGTGGACCTAGCAGCAGCCAGTGAATAGGTGGGATCAGGAGCTACGCTCGACCTTTTCAACCACAAATAGGTGAGTGCACACACACACACACACATATGGCATGGAACGGGAGTAACACCAACATTAGTGTTCACTGAATTTTAATGGTTTGTGGCCTACGCAAAGTATATGCAAAGATACTGCAGGGATCATTGAACGTGTCAGGGCCAGTGAACAACCCATGAAGTAAATTACAAGGTGCCCTGAGCTAGAAAGCGAGGCAAAAGAGGGAGGTAGCAGGCCTAGTTTGGCATAAATGGTATTGCCACATGTGATCATGAGGTGTGACCCTCAAGAAAAAGAATAAAGCGCAGATCATTGTGCGACCAATGAAATATGCACAGTAAATAGGAATAAATTATTACATATAGTTGAGAAACAGAGGTGGAGGCATGACGCCAGGATAACATCACAATGAGTTGGATAATCTCCAGGCTGCTATGCAAGTATTCACCTATGTGTGGTACGGAGGTCAGGTGTGGGTTCTAGGTATCACCAGCTGTAATGTGAATAGTCACACACATTAGAGATGCAGAGGGAAAAGCATTGGGAAGAGGAGAGGGAGACGTCAGTTTTTATTCATGGGCTTCAGGAGACCCAGGGGAGGACATATAAAGAAAGATAACAAGGGGAGAAAAAGAGAGATTGAAAAAATAATTTGCCCGGAAAACTCTGCATAAGAAGGGGCTTTATATATAGTAGTATGTCATTGATGTCAGCTAGGCCTTACATATGCTTGTAGAAATAGAAGCATCAGGGAAGTGAGAGGTGAAGGTTTATAAATTAAAAGAGGAGGCAGTTAGGGTAAGATATAAACAGCTATTGGAGGATAGATGGGCTAATGAGAGCATAGGCAATGGGGTCGAAGAGGTATGGGGTAGGTTTAAAAATGTAGTGTTAGAGTGTTCAGCAGAAGTTTGTGGTTACAGGAAAGTGGGTGCGGGAGGGAAGAGGAGCGATTGGTGGAATGATGATGTAAAGAGAGTAGTAAGGGAGAAAAAGTTAGCATATGAGAAGTTTTTACAAAGTAGAAGTGATGCAAGAAGGGAAGAGTATATGGAGAAAAAGAGAGAGGTTAAGAGAGTGGTGAAGCAATGTGAAAAGAGAGCAAATGAGAGAGTGTGAGATGTTATCAACAAATTTTGTTGAAAATAAAAAAAAGTTTTGGAGTGACATTAACAAGTTAAGGAAGCCTAGAGAAAAAATGGATTTGTCAGTTAAAAATAGGAGAGGAGAGTTATTAAATGGAGAGTTAGAGGTATTGGGAAGATGGAGGGAATATTTTGAGGAATTGTTAAATGTTGATGAAGATAGGGAAGCTGTGATTTCGTGTATAGGGCAAGGTGGAATAACATAAATAACATCTTGTGGAATAACATCTTGTAGGAGTAAGTAAGAGCCAGTTGTGAGTGTGGGGGAAGTTCGTGAGGCAGTAGGTAAAATGAAAGGGGGTAATGCAGCTGGGATTGATGGGATAAAGATAGAAACGTTAAAAGCAGGTGGGGATACAGTTTTGGAGTGGTTGGTGCTATTATTTAATAAATGTATGGAAGAGGGTAAGGTACCTAGGGATTGGCAGAGAGCATGCATAGTTCCTTTGTATAAAGGCAAAGGGGACAAAAGAGATTGCAAGAATTGTAGGGGGATAAGTCTGTTGAGTATACCTGGTAAAGTGTATGGTAGAGTTATTATTGAAAGAATTAAGAGTAAGACAGAGAATAGGATAGCAGATGAACAAGGAAGCTTTAGGAAAGGTAGGGGGTGTGTGGACCAGGTGTTTACAGTGAAACATATAAATGAACAGTATTTAGATAAGGCTAAAGAGGTTTTTGTGGCATTTATGGATTTGGAAAATGCGTATGACAGGGTGGATAGGGGAGCAATGTAGCAGATGTTGCAGATGTATGGTATAGGAGGTAGGTTACTGAAAGCAGTGAAGAGTTTTTACGAGGATAGTGAGGCTCAAGTTAGAGTATGTAGGAAAGAGGGAGATTATTTCCCAGTAAAAGTAGGCCTTAGACAAGGATGTGTGATGTCTCCATGGTTGTTTAATATATTTATAGATGGGGTTGTAAGAGAAGTAAATGCGAGGGTCTTGGCAAGAGACGTGGAGTTAAAAGATAAAGAATCACACATAAAGTGGGAGTTGTCACAGTTGCTCTTTGCTGATGACACTGTGTTCTTGGGAGATACTGAAGAGAAGTTGCAGAGGTTGGTGGATGAATTTGGTAGGGTATGTAAAAGAAGAAAATTAAAAGTGAATACAGGAAAGAGTAAGGTTATGAGGATAACAAAAAGATTAGGTGATGAAAGATTGGATATCAGATTGGAGGGAGAGAGTATGGAGGAGATGAATGTATTCAGATATTTGGGAGTGGACGTGTCATCGGATGGATCTATGAAAGATGAGGTGAATCATAGAATTGATGAAGGGAAAAGGGTGAACGGTGCACTTAGGTGTCTGTGGAGACAAAGAACTTTGTCCTTGGAGGCAAAGAGGGGAATTTATGAGAGTATAGTTTTACCAACACTCTTATATGGGTGTGAAGCATGGGTGATGAATGTTGCAGCGAGGAGAAGGCTGGAGGCAGTGGAGATGTCATGTCTGAGAGCAATGTGTGGTGTGAATATAATGCAGAGAATTCGTAGTTTGGAAGTTAGGAGGAGGTGCGAAATTGCGAAAACTGTTGTCCAGAGGGCTGAGGAAGGGTTGTTGAGGTGGTTCGGACATGTAGAGAGAATGGAGCAAAAGAGAATGACTTCAAGAGTGTATCAGTCTGTAGCTTAAGGAAGGCGGGGTAGGGGTCGGCCTACGAAAGGTTGGAGGGAGGGGGTAAAGGAGGTTTTGTGTGCGAGGGGCTTGGACTTCCAGCAGGCATGCGTATGCTTATTTGATAGAAGTGAATGGAGACAAATGGTTTTTAATATTTGACGTGCTGTTGGAGTGTGAGCAAAGTAACATTTATGAAGGGATTCAGGGAAACCGGCAGGCCGGACTTGAGTCCTGGAGATGGGAAGTACAGTGCCTGCACTCTGAAGGAGGGGTGTTAATGTTGCAGTTTAAAAACTGTAGTGCAAAGCACCCTTCTGGCAAGACAGTGATGGAGTGAATGGTGGTGAAAGTTTTTCTTTTTCGGGTCACCCTGCCTTGGTGGGAATCGGCCAGTGTGTTAATAAAATAATAAATTATATCAAACAGGAGAGGAGGACATGACTGAGCTGATAAATTATCAGAGAATAGGGGGATATTCGAGGGGAAGAAATCGGCCAGTCAAATTGATTTTCAAGACAGATTTAGGAAGGTATTCTCAGTGAAGACAAAAAGGCTTCCATCACACCGAGGTGGTAGGGTACACTAGCAAGTGCTGGACATACTACACACAACCAAGTAGGAGATCTGGATCTGGATCTGGAGAGAGTTCCGGGGGTCAACGCCCCTGCGGCCCGGTCTGTGACCAGGCCTCATGATGGATCAGAGCCTGATCAACCAGGCTGTTACTGCTGGCTGCACGCAATCCAACGTACGAGCCACAGCCTGGCTGGTCAGGTACTGACTTTAGGAGCTTGTCCAGTGCCTGCTTGAAGACAGCCATGGGTCTATGTAGAAACTGTTGTGTAAACCAAATACATCAAAGGTAGTAGGCCCAGATACCACCTCTTCATGGATCCTGAGAGAGGGAGCAGATGCCCTGTGTGTGCCGCTTACAACAGTCTTTAACAAATCTATCGATACAGGGCAACTACCTGGGGTGTGGAAGTCAGTCAATGGAGTCTTGATTTTTAAGGAGACAGACAGGCAGTATTAAACTACAGACTAGTGTCACTGTCATGTATGGTATGTATAGTTATGGAGAAAATGATCAGATCAGCGGTGGAGCACCTAGAAAGGAATGGGTTTATACATTCATAGATGACAATCAGCACAGCTTCAGCAGTGAAAAATCCTGCGTTACAAACCTACTTGAGTTCTACAACAAAGTAACAAAAGACAGGAGAGAGAGAGGGGTGAACAGACTGTATTTCCTTAGACTGCAAGAAGGTTTTCGACACAGTACTGAAGGAGAAACCGGCACAAAAACTAGAAGAGCAGGAAGGAATTGCATGGAAAGGACTGCAATGGATTAGGGAATACATGACAGAAAGGAAACAGTGATGATATTGATGAGGTATCAGAGTGGGCACATGTGTCGAGTGGAGTTCCACAAGGATCAGTCCTAGGGCTGGTGCTGTTTCTTGTAGTATATGTGAATGACATATCGGAAGGAATAGAGTCAGAGGTGTCCTTGTTTACAGACGACGTTAAGCTAATGCTGAAAATTCAAGAGAACGAGGAGCAGGTAAGACTACGATGGGGTTTACCTGGAGTTTACCTGGAGAGAGTTCCGGGGGTCAACGCCCCCGCGGCCCGGTCTGTGACCAGGCCTCCTGGTGGATCAGAGCCTGATCAACCAGGCTGTTGCTGCTGGCTGCACGCAAACCAACGTACGAGCCACAGCCAGGCTGGTCAGGAACCGACTTTAGGTGCTTGTCCAGTGCCAGCTTGAAGACTGCCAGGGGTCTGTTGGTAATCCCCCTTATGTATGCTGTGAGGCAGTTGAACAGTCTCGGGCCCCTGACACTTATTGTATGGTCTCTTAACGTGCAAGTGACACCCCTGCTTTTCATTGGGGGGATGTTGCATCGTCTGCCAAGTCTTTTGCTTTCGTAGTGAGTGATTTTCGTGTGCAAGTTCGGTACTAGTC